CTCTGTCCTCAAACGCTGGGTCCCCCCCCCTTTTTTTTTTTTTTTTTTTTTTTGAGAGAGAGAGGTTTTTGCTATGGGGCACTTGCACTTGCCAGAGAGACAGAAAGCGAGGGTAACCACACCACAATCCCTTCTCCTCTTGAAATACTGGGCGCATGCAGGCACCTGGTGTAAGTTTCAAGCCATCGGGTCCGGGACTCTAACCGCAGCTGGCCATGTGGGAGTCCAGCGACGTAACCTTTATGCCATTTGCTGGTCTTAGTCCTCTCTATGTTTTACAGCACAGAGAAGCGAAGTAGCTTGTCTAGATGTACAGGTAGGGAAGGGCTGGAGCTGGGATTTGAACCAGGCAGCCCTGAGAGCCCTTGATCTCGACTGTAACGCTGCCTTCTGATAGGAAGTGCCTGCTGGGACTCAGGAAGGGGCTGTGGGGAGGTCGTTTATTTGTTTTCCTGGTTGTTCTTTGTTTATCAAGCATCCGCTGTGTGCCAGGCACTGCTGTGGATGCCGGAGATATAGAGGCGATTGGGACAGCTGAGGGCGTTGTCTCGAGATGGCGTTCCAGTGGGGAGGACTGGCAGTAAGCAGGCCGAAGAGTAGAACTGCAGACAGTCCTGAGGGCTTCAGCGAAGACAGCCCCAGGTGATGTGCTTGGTGGGGGTGGGGGGGTGCAGCTCCACTGGATTAGACCACGGAGGAGCAGCCCCAGGGACTGAGCCTGTCCATCCTGTTCATGGGGAGGGGCCAGATTTGCTTGCCCTGAATTCCCATGGGCAGCTCAGCCCTAGGTATCTTGCTGTTCTTGAGGTTGGAGGGCTTTTTGGGAGCTCAGCCTGTGCAGGACCCAACCCATCTACCCCAGCGATGGCTGCAGCCTGAACCAAGCCAGCCCCCCAGGACAGCCTAGACACTGAGTGTGCCCTTGAAGCCTGAATGGAATCGCACTTCCTCTGCTGAGCACAGCGCTCCAGAATGACCCTCAGACTCCATCTGGTGTGTGACATGTGGGGGACGATGGGGACCTCACAAGTTGAGTCTCTTGATCAGCCTTGACCTGGGCCCCTTGGGTATGGCCGAGGTTGGTAGACGTCCATTGTATGTATATGTGGCCTTTCAGGAAACGCAGTAGCCTTGGGGGCTTCCTCCATCTCAGCTTGGAGGACAGGGCACCAATGGCTCTGGTTTTAAAAGTGAAGGTAGTCCTAAGCAGCTCGATCCTAGGCAGATTGATCAAAAGAAAGGTGTTCGCTCTGTCCCTCCGCTCAGGGTGCATCCTGCCCTCCTCCACTCTTGCCTGCCTCTGGTGATGTGGAGTGTCTGGGTGGGAGCCCCTGAATCTATCTCCGAGGCTCCTTGGGGGTCCACGTGCCCCCCGCGCTGTCAGCGGCACTGGGGCAGAGATCCCATGGGACCTCTGGGATCCTGTAGGCCACCTCTGCCATATACAGAGGAGGAGCCAGGGGCCAGAGACATGGAGGGGGCCCTGCTTCTCTTTCCAAAGGAAGGCTGGCATTTTCCCCTCGCACCCTAAACACTTAGAGCAGTACCCAGCCCACATGATCTCAGGGCCAGAGGGGGGACCAGGAACAGGGTGCGCCTTGCAGGAAGGAGGTGGGCCAGGCCTTTGGATTGATCAAAAGAAGCCGGAAAGCCTTGTTTCATGGGTTTTGAAAATATCCCCTAGGCCAAACAAAACGCATTGAGGCCCAGATCCGGCCCACGACTCCCCAGATTTCAACTCTTGGCCTGTATAATCTGTTGGCTCCGGCAGGGGGTTCCTGTTCCCCTCCTCACCTTTGGGCAAGGACCAACTCTTGAGCTCCAGTGTTGGAGAGGTGTGGTCAGAGCCTGTCTTAAAAAAAAAAAACAAGTGGAAAAGGGATGGGCTAAGGGGGCATTGCAGACAATCTGCAGGGTTTAGGAGAATGGCGTTTGGAGTTTTAGGAGGATTCAGTGAGAGAAAATGAGTGAGGAACCCAGCACAGAGTAAGTGTTGAGTAAACAGTGTCTGGATGTCCGAGCCAGAGGGGAGTCTGTCCTCCTCTCACATATGCATGGAAGGTCACTTTATCTGGAGGCCCTCCCTGGCCTTATTTAGAACTGCCTGGAACTTTCTGTCTGCCTTCCCTGCTTGGTTTTCTCCATACTGCTTATCACCATCTGACGTGGGATATAGTAAAACATTTTGTTTCTTCTTTGCCAGTTAGAATCTGAACTTTATGAGGGCAAGGATTCGCATCTCCTCTATGGCACTGGTTCTCAAACGTCTTGGGCTCCTTTAACTCTTTTTGTTTTTGTTTTTATTTTTGAGAGTTTTTTGCTATAGGGCACGTACGCTCGCCAGACAGAGAGAGACAGAGAGACAGAAAGCGAGAAATCACCCCCCAGGGGGGATGGCCATGCTGCAATCCCTTCTCCTCCATTCTCCTCCTGAGATCTTGTGCACGCATACACACACGCCCGGCATGAGTTTAAACCACCGGGTCCGGGACGCAAACCGTGGTCGACTACGTGGGAGTCCAGTGACATAGCCATTACGCTAACTGCTAGTCACAACGTTTTGTTTTTATAGCAAACAAACTGAGGAATTTACAAAAGCTTTCGAATGGTAATACATGCATTATGGGTTAACACAGATAGCATAGTTTTTATAGAGAAACTATATTTTTCAGGACCACACAAACAAAAAAATAAACTCTTAAAGTAAATGTATTTCTTCCATTACCTAGAGAGACAGAGACACAGCACCCCAACAAGGTCTTGACACCACGATCCACCTCTAGCCTCAGTCAGCCCTGGACCAGGGTTCTGCAGCCAGCGTACTTGGGGAGGCCTCCAGATGTGAACCTGGAGCTGCTCAGTGTGGGTCCGCCTTGCTGAGCATCGTGTTTTACCTCTGGGCCACCATCTGCCCACCTCCAACAACAATCTAAGTGAGGAGAGTGGCACTGTTTTATGTGTTTGCAGATCTCTTAAAGTCTGGCTGAATAGGAGAAGCTGGCTTCTCAAAGCTTTTATTACAACATCAAAAGCCTCTGGAAAACTTCACAGCAGACTTGCGAGAGAGATGAAAGAAAAAAAAGACCATTTTAGTAGTATGATGACAGTACCTTTGACTTGGGGCTGGGGAGGGGGTCTCTGAAAAGATCTTGGGGAACCCCAGAGTTCCCCGAGCATACTTTGAGAACCATTCCTCCCTAGAGTACCAGGTGCCTGCGATCCTGCCTGGCTCCCAGGATGCAGCCAGTAGTCACTCGTTGGCTGCTGAAGGAATTTGCACGTAGCCATGTGGCCAGAATGCCGGAGTGGACAGTAGCAGCCAAGGAAGAGCAGCTTGAGGCATCCCTGAAATGAACTGAAGGTCATTTCTGCTCCTGGTCAGGCCTGGGGTCAGTCCCTGGAGTTCCAGCATTGGTTAAGAGAGACCCAGTTCTGTATGGAGCCCACACTCTCACTGGGGCAAGGGTGCTCGGGCCCTAGACTGGGTAATACGTTCCACTGTGGGCAGAAGGTGCTTCGTGAGCTGGAAGGGCCAGGCTGGGTAAGAAGCAGCCAGCCCCAAGGGCCTGCAGGAACACAGTGCCAGGCAGATGGACTAGTGCCAGGCTGAGGTGGGACAGCCCAGCGTGCAGGGGGACGGCACAGAGGCCAGCATGTCTAGAGTCTAGTGAGATGGCGTTGAGGCTGGCATGGTCGCCAGTGGTCAAGTCATGCTGAGGGCCTTGTGGGACTGGAGGAGGCCCTCAGAATGACGTAAAGGGCTATCCTTGAGAGGAGGGTTTCCACGTCTGGACGTGAGGCTTCCCTCAAGGAGGAAGCTGGGTTTCATTTCCTCAGCACTTGCTGTCTGATGTCCCCATGGGTGCCGGAGCTGCAGACTGGGTGACCCCCCCACTGATGCCCGCCCCGAGATGTCATGGGGGAGGCCACAGGTCTCTGGGGCAAGGTGGGGCAGGTTTACAGAGCCCACGTGACTGGGAGGAATATGGCCTCGAAGCCACGAGACCTCCCGGCTGGGACACACATCCCTGGTCTATTCTGTCCCCTGTGGGCTGAGGCGGAGTTGCCTGGCAAGTGGCTGAGGGGATTTAACTAATGAAGGCCTGAAGAGTACAGAGGAAGCGGATGTGCTGACAGACTCTGGTGAGGGGCATAATTAGCAGGCTCCTGGCCTGGGGCTGCTTCAGACCCGAGCGTCCTGAAGCCCTGAGCCTGACCTGGAATGTGGAGACAGGACAGGGGTTGTGGGGGTGGGGGTGATGGCACATTGGATGAGGGACCTGAGGGGCTCAGGCTCTCCCACACAGACACCCCCTGGCACTACCTGATGCCTGGAACCTGACCCGTTGGTCTCTGCCTCCTTGCTCAGGGCCCAACCCCACTGGGCTCCTTGGCAGTTGGTGGCAGGGGAGGTCACTGGAGGTGGCAGGCGGATGGTTCCAGGCTGGAAGGTGCTGGCTCTGGGGTCTGACTGCACCAGCTCACCACCGCTAAGCTCACCGCTCTGAGCAGGCTAGGAAGTCTGCCGACCTGTCGTCCCATCTGCAAATCAGTGACAGTGGGGCCCACGTCGTGGTGTTCCTACAGTCCACTGGGCGGCGTGGTTAGAACGTGCCCGGAAGATAGCATGCCCCTGCCAGGAATGACTCGACCTTTACCTGATTCACCTCGTGGGCTGTTGGAACTTCTGCCTTTGAGAGCCCATCCCTCCATTAAAAAATGTATTTTAGGATTGTGTTATTGTAAAGATGACTTTTTTTTTTTTTTTTTTTTTAATTTGCCAGCGGGGCACATAGATTCAACAGAAAGACAGGGCGAGGAAGGAAGCACCCCCCCATTGGGGCGTGGGTGTGCTGCAGTCCCTTCTCCATTTCTCTGTCTTGTTGGGATCTTGGGCATGCACATATGTCTGGCATTTTTTTCAAACTGCCAGGTCTGGGATTTGAACCATGGGACCCAGCTTAACCGCTAGGCCATGGGGCCTGGCCTGAGACAGTTCATTATTTTATTACTTTCATTTCAGATTTGAAAACAAGATGAGAATGTTTCAATAGGCCGTAGGGGCACCCTGCCTCTTGCTCCTCCCTGTTGTGTTTGGGGTGGGGGACAGAAGGGGGGGTCTAGACCTGCTGGGCTGGGTGCCCCTTTCCCTCATACTGCCTCTTCCTGACCCAGATGCTGACCTGACCTTCGAGCAGACGGCCTGGGGGGACAGTGGCGTGTATTACTGCTCGGTGGTCTCGGCCCAGGACCTCCAGGGCAACAATGAGGCCTACGCAGAGCTCATCGTCCTTGGTGAGTGGGGCTGGGCCCTGAGGACCTGGGGAGGGGCCCCCTGTCTCTGCTGTGTTGCCCTGTGTCCTCCAGCTCACCCTGTGGCCTCTATCGCTGCTTTGCTCTTCCCCTGCGGCACCACCAGTCACCTGGGCCTCTGCCCTGCACCCCAAGAGGGACCCCTCCCCACCACAATGCTCCCAGCCAGCCAGTACTTTTACAAAGTACAGGCGTGGTCAGAGTTGATGGCAGTGAGTGAGGAGGTGGCCCCCCTCCACCATATCTCCAGGGTTACCTCTCACCCCAGTCCCTCACCAAAGCATAGGAACTTTGCTATCCAGCCTGCTGGGATGGCATGTGTAGGTGTCTTGAGTGTGCTAAAACTAGGCCACACCAGATGCCCAGAGCAGGGGGGGCACCTTGGCTAGGAGGCCTCCCTGCCCCACGTGGAGGGCACAGGCTGTCACGCAAGCCACCCATCAGGTCAAGTCTCGGGTGGCGTGTGCTATATGTGAAGGACGCTGCCGGGCTACACCACACCATCACCCGTGCACAAATGAGCACTTGATGGGGGAGCCAGCACACGCCAGGAGGCTCATGCATGTGGCAGAGTTCACGCATGGGTGACAGAGGCATGTGCCAGTGAACCAGGAACACACAGACATCAGCGGGTCTCAGGACTCGTTTGCACTCTAAAAAACCACTGAGGGTCTCAGAGTTCTTAAGTTTTTGTAGGTTATATCTCTAGTTACCTAAAATATTAAAGCCTGAAACTGGAGACTTTGTAAGGCACATCATCCTCTGGCCATCAGGGCAATGACGTCATCAAATCCCACCACAGACGCGTGAGAGGACCAGAGCAAAGGCAGATGGCCTCACGGTGGCGTTATGAAACAGCGTGGCCTCGTGGACAGGAGGACCACTGTGAGAGCCGGGGGACCATGTGAGCCAAGGGTGTGAGCTCTGGGAGAGCCGTGTCAGTGTAGACTGAGTGGAGGTCCCCCAAGATGTGCTTGTGGGGTACAGAGCTCCGGTGGGTCCTAAGGGAAGGCGCCAGACTGGGTCAGGAAACCTGCTGTGTGCAGAGTGCATGAACAGACCACCGCAGGTCTTAAGCCAGGGCCACGTGGGACTTCTGACTTTTGGAACTTTTGCCTTCGTGAGCCCCTTCCTCCATTACAAAAATATATTTTAGGATTGTGTTATTATAAAGACAAATTTTTTTGAATCTTTTCTCTTTTTTTTTTTTTGGAGAGGTTTTGCTATAGGGTGTGTGCGCTCGCCAGAAAGACAGACAGAGACAGAAAGCAAGATATTATCCCCCCCACCCACCCAGGGGAGGTGGCCACGCAGCAATCCTTTCTCCATTCTCATCTCAGGGTCTTGGGCATGCACGCACACATGCCCAATGTGAGTTTAAGCCACTGGGTCCGGGACTTGAACCGCAGTCGACTACATGGGAGTCCAGCGACATAGCCATTACGCTAACTGCTGGTCCCATAAAGACTTTTTTATTTTTCGGGAACCAGCAGTTAGCGTAATGGCTATGTCGCTGGACTCCCATGTAGTCGACCGCGGTTCACGTCCCGGACCCGGTGGCTTAAAACTCACACCGGGCACGTGTGTGTGCGTGCCCAAGATCCTGAGAGGAGAATGGAGGAGAAGGGATTGCGGCGTGACCATCCCCCCTGGGGGGTGATTTCTCCCTTTCTGTCTCTATGTCTCTCTCTGTCTGTCTGGCGAGCGCATGTGCCCTACAGTGAAAAATCTCTCCAAAAAAAAAAAAGACTTTTTTATTTTTTTAATTTGCCAGTGGACACATGAGTTCAACAAAAAGACAGGGAGATGGAGAAAGGACCTCCACACTGGGGCATGGACACCCTGCAATCCCTTCTCCATTTCTCTGTCCTGTCGAGATCTTTGGCATGCACACACATGTGCCTGATGTGCTTTTCAAGCCGCTGGGTCTGGGATTTGAACCATGTAGTCAGCCATGTGAACCCAGCTTAACCACTAGGCCATGGGGCGCGGCCTGAGACAGTTTATTATTACAGTCACTATTTTATTACTTTGTTTTAGATTTGAAACTAAGATGTAAGTGTTCCCATAAGCCCTAGGTCACTGTGCCTGCTATGCCTAACAGAACAGGACTGTCCCTGTCACATGGAATGGAACCTTTTGGGGTGACAGGGCTTGTGTATGAGAAGAGGGAGTGCCTAAGCTGAGGTGGCACCTTCTGAACCCCATGGGGGTATGTGGGAACTGTTCCTCTGTGGCTTCAGAGAGTGGGGGATGGTATAACAGAAACCTCTGGAAAACAGCAGCCACATCGGGCAGGGTCAGGGCAGGAGCCACCAGCAGTCCCCACTTCAGGGTGCACCTCAGTCTGGCCAGCTGCAGCTGGGCTGGGCAGGGTGGCTGGCTGTGGCCAGCATAATCTCCTGTTTCTCTTTTGTCCCTCCAGGCAGGACCTCAGGGGTGGCTGAGCTCTTACCTGGTTTTCAGGCGGGGCCCATAGAAGGTATGGGGCGTGGGGTCCTGAGTGGGGTCTCAGGTGTCCCCACATGCCCTTGACCGCTCTGTCTCTAGTAGTCAACCTCTCCTAACCCTAAACACTGCTCGCTGTGGACTCCCTCCCCATTAACCCTGCTGACCGAACTCCATAGCATGTAGGCACCGCTATGGACTTGGGGTGTCTGAGGAGGGGCCTAGGGTGTAGGCAGGGCCCCTGTGACTGGCGCCCGCAGTGTTCTTCCAGGCTGGGGGCTCTGCCCTTCCCGAAGCTGCTGTCTATCTTGCTTTGGCCAGGTTGCTTCTTGTTTTCTGCCTTGTCCCTTTCAATGCAGGGGGAGGTCCCAAGCTTGGGGACTAGCCTGGGTCATGGTTGGGTGGGTGGTTTCTGCACCAGCCTCAGCCTGGAGAACCTAGGGAGGGCTGCAGTGAGCTTTGCATGTAGTTCCCATCCCAACACTGGCTCTGAGCTGCCCCTGCTGTCCCATCTGTTCCCTGGTGGGCCTCCCGGTTCAGGGCCCATTCCCATCTCTCTGCAGACTGGCTGTTCGTGGTGGTGGTCTGCCTGGCTGGCTTCCTCTTCTTCCTCCTCCTGGGCATCTGCTGGTGTCAGTGCTGCCCACACACCTGCTGCTGCTACGTCAGGTGCCCCTGCTGCCCGGACAAGTGCTGCTGCCCGGAGGCCCGTAAGTGCCCCCTCGCGTGGCCACTCCCACCTGGCCTCCTCTTGGATCCCTGCAGGAGAGCGGAGTACCCTGGCCTGGGGAGATGAGGCTGGCAATCTGGGAGAGAGTAGGTCAAGGCTGACCTGCCATTTTAGATTGTTTACTTCAACTTTTATCTTCAATTTTCATTTATTTTGAGGTTTTTCTTTTTCTTTTTCTTTCTTTTTTAAATTTGCCAGAGGGCCCACATGAGGTCACTAGAGAAAGACCAAGAGAGATAGGGAGGAAGGGAAAGCAAGAAGGCACCGCCCACAGGGCATGGTCATACTGCAGTCCCTTTTCCCCTCCGTTCGGGATTTTGGGCATACACACATGTTGGCATGTTTCTCAACCCGACTTGAACAGCTGCCAGCCATGTGGGATCCAGCTGCCTTAACCACCATGCTACGGGCTGGCCGCGAGCTTTTTCTTTTGTATAATCCATGGTTGAAAAAGAAAAGGCCAACAGTGCACAGTGTTATTCACTGTGAATCTCCCATTGGAAACAAAACCTTAAGTGAAAAAGGTAAGACAACAAACGGGTCACAGCGCCACACACTCCAAGTTATCTTTTTAAGTTTGTTTATTTCTTCAGAGAGAGACACCATCCAGCCCCAGCCCCAGCCCCAGCCCGCCCTGGATCATGGGCACATGAGAAGTCTCCAGGACACGAACCCAAAAACCTTCCCATGTGGGTTGGCCTTGCAGAGCTTCGGGTTACCTCTCTGCCACTGTCCAGCCTCAGTTTAAGCAGAGGTTTGAAAGCACACAAGCACTGCATTTTCCAGGGTCTAGCACACCAGAGTGGGGACCTACAGAGGGCTGAGAAGGGAAGTGGGACCCCAGAGGAAGGAGAAGGAAAACCAGGGAAAGGGAATGACCTCTGACTGTCCACTTGCCCTCAGGAGGACAGCTGTCGTCCCTTCTTAGTTTCCTTCCTCGCAGCCCTGCCCCATATATGGGAACCTCAGCAAGCAGCATTTCAGGTCTCTTTGCTTCCCGGCAAAGTCCCAGCCTCACAGGGTGTGGTGAGCGGTAAGGGAACACAGTACGGATGTGCCCAAGACCAGGTGGCGGCCCAGTCTCTACTGGTTGATGCTATGGTCCCTGTACTCCATGGTGGTCAGCCTGGGCCTCAAACCCTCAAAGTACCGCTCCCCTGCAAAATCCCCCTTGCTCTCTGGAGGCTTATCCTGGCACACACACATAGGTCTGGTCACACTGCAGTCCTTGCCTGCAGTCTTCCAGCCCACGGGATCATGGACTTGCACGCGTGCTGGGGTGTTCAGGCTGCCCGGGCTTCTCTTGAGCAGTGTGTTACTGCTGCTCCAGCATCCTCCCTTTCTGTCTCATCTTTAGTTAAGAGCCTTTTTATCCTTCAAAGTTTGTTTATTCGTGAGAGAAACAGACAGCCCTAACAGGGTTCCCAGGCCAAAATCCTCGGGATGTGAACCAAGGGTCCCCCCCGCTGTGCCACCACCTGACCTTCAGTTGGGAGAATTTTGCTCAAGACTATAGGTGTTAGTCCATTTCACAGATCACAGAGGGAACCCCAAGGACTCCAACCAACTTGGCTTTAACCCACTGATTAAGACAAAGTTCTGCCCCAAGGCCACATTTCCATCGTCCCAAGGGCCCCCATTCCCCACCCAAGGCCCCATTAAGTCTCTGGTGGACATGGTCTTCTGTGGTAGCCACAACCCCTTGGCAGGTCACCAGGGCTAACGAGGGGCTTCTCAATAGGGCTGCCCTGACCCTTCTGTTTCCCAACCAAATCAGAAGCCAAGAGAGCCTTCCAGGGTCTGTCTCCCCTTTTCCATCTCTCTGTTGGGTCCCAGGGAGGAAACGACTTGCCTAAGGCTCAGTGCCAGGCCAGGAAACCACCAGAACCAGCCTCTAGGTTGGGGGAAGGAGATCGGCAGGATTTGCCCTTGAGCTGTCAAGCCTAGAGCCAGACGTGGGCGGGGTGGGAGTGGGTGCGGCCCATGAGTTGGAAACTAGAGAATTTTGCTGCTTGGCAGAGAGAAGCATGTTAACTCCCAAGTCCCCTGGGGGCCTGCTCTGGACTGAGGCCCACTGCACCTGAGGCTGGAAGATGGTCCTGTTGGGGGGCCCAGCAGATGTGTGGGCACAGGACCCCCAGATGATTCATTTTGCCAGAGCAGGAGCCAGGCCAACAAAGGGGATACTTGATTCTCATGTGGGGACATTCACCAGTCAGATGGAGCCTCGGGCTGCCATGGTCACCTCCTTTTCGAAAGCTCTATGAGGGCTCACATAGGAGATGGGACTCGGCCTGAGGTGGCAAGGGTAGTCTCTCAGCTCCTCATGCAACCATGTGTGTCCTCCCAGTGTACGCTGCTGGCAAGGCAGCCACCTCAGGCGTCCCCAGCATCTATGCCCCCAGCACCTACGCCCACCTGTCCCCTGCCAAGACCCCGCCCCCGCCAGCCATGTTTCCCATGGGTCCTGTCTACAACGGATACCATGGAGACTTCGACAGGAATAGTTCAGGTGAGGGTGGGGCTGTGGCAGCTGGGGTGCAGTGGGCTGGAGGAAGGGGTGGTGGGGGGAGGCAAGGCTCTGCCCTGGTGGGCAGCCTCTGACAGCCAGTCTTCCCCAGTTGGTGGCCACAGCAGCCAGGTACCCCTGCTTCGAGACACGGACAGCACTGTGACCTCTGGTGAGAACCCATCATTCTGAGGTCGGACATGCCCATAGGGGGAGGGCTAGGCCAGCATCTGTCTCCCCAAAAGGACCCCCTTCACCCTCTACCCCTAGAAGTCCGCAGTGGCTACAGGATCCAGGCCAACCAGCAGGACGACTCCATGCGTGTCCTGTACTACATGGAGAAAGAGCTGGCCAACTTCGACCCTTCTCGACCTGGGCCCCCCAATGGTCGTGTGGAGCGGGGTGAGTAGACACCTTAGGGACTGAGGGCTCCTTGAGGGGGTTGGGAGGCAACCTCTCTCCCTGGACACAGTCCCTCCTTCCCCACTGCGTCTGCTAGAGAGCATGAGCCAAGGGTGAACTCTTGGACCCAGGACTCCTGGCAGTCAGCATACCGTCCTTCCCTACAGCCTTGAGCGAAGTCACTTCTCTCCACGAAGACGACTGGCGATCCCGGCCTTCCCGGGGCCCACCCCTCACCCCTATCCGGGATGAGGAGTGGGGTCGCCACTCCCCCCGGAGTCCCAGGAGATTGGAGTCCCTTGAGGAACGGCCAAGGGGGGGCTGGGGAGCTGGGCGCCCCCGGGCCCGCTCCGTGGATGCCCTGGATGACCTCGCGCGGCCAGCCTCTGCCGAGGCGGAGGAGGTCTCCTTCCAGCAGTGGGAGGAGAGGCCGGGCCTACACGCCCCCGCGAAGCCGGAGCCGTGATGACCTCTACGACCCCGACCCGAGGGACTTTCCACACTCCCGGGAACCCCGCTATGACGACTTTAGGTCCAGGGACCGCCCTCACGCTGACCCCAGGGCCCACTACCGATCCCGGGACCCTCGGGACGCAGGCTCCAGATCTGGGGACCCCCAGTACGATGGGCGGCTAATAGAAGAGGCCTTGAGGAAAAAGTCCGGGGAGAGGGGGCGGCCTTACAAGGAGGAAGAGGAGACCTACTACCCTCCCGCGCCTCCCCCTTACTCCGAGAACGACTCCCAGTCCTCCTCCTCCCGGGAGCGGAGGCTCAAGAAGGTGAGCGCGGCCCTCCCACACCGCAGCCCCTTCCCACCCCTCCCCGCCCCGCCCCGCCCCAGCTCACACCCTGCTTGCTTTCTCCTTTGCAGAACTTGGCCCTGAGTCGGGAAAGCTTAGTCGTCTGATCTCACGTTTTGTATGTAGCTTTTGTATTTTTTTTTTTTTAATTTGCGGGAATACTGGTGAAATCCTTCCCCTTCTAATAAAATTTATCATCACAAGGTCTAAGTCTCGAGAAACGTCTTGTTTTGCTGCGCGGGGTGGGGACCTGGGTGGCCACCAAGGGTCGTGACCCCGCGTACCGTGTTTCCCGGGGATACAGTTGCGGGCCAAGAGGAAGCGACCCCGTCGGCTCCTGCCTTCTCCCTCTCCCCGGCCAGGAGTACGTGCCCCACGCTGCCCCGCCCGGCCCTGCGTGCGCGCCTCGGCCCCGCCCAGGCGTACGCATGCGCCCCGGCTCTCCG